TAAGCCCAAGAGTTTGAGGTTGCTGTGAGCTGTGAGACCACAGCACTCTACCCAGGTGACAGTTTGGGACTTTGTCTCAGCAAAAAAAAGAATTCTACATTCTTCAATTAAAGATATGGTCTATGCAATAAATGAAATGAAGGCAATGTAGTATATTGGTTTTAGAGTGGTGGGCTTTGGTGTCGGAAAAATGTTTTTTATATCTGGTTTAACATTAAGTATGTAACTTAATCAAAAGCCTTTGATTGTTAGTAGCCTCTTCTGTCTTTGTAGGGGGAAAAGTAATACCTATTTCAATAGAGACTATTGTGAGATTTCAGTGAGAAGAATTATATAAAGTGCTTTTCACAGAGACTGGCACTTAATAAGCTCTACTTTGTTTTTGCATTTCTATGATGCCATCATTGTAAAAGATTTTTTTTTGAGACAGAGTCTTAAGCTATTGCCCTGTAGAGTGCCTGGTGTCATAGCTCACAGCAGCTTCAAACTCTTGAGCTCAAGTGATTCTCTTGCCTTAGCCTCCCCAAGTAGCTGGGACTACAGGCGCCTATTTTTTCTGTTGTTGTTGTAGTAGTTGTCATTGTTTTTCTTAGCTGGCCCTGACCAGGTTCAAATCCACCAGCCTTGGTATATGTGGTCAGCGCCCTACCCACTGAAATACAGGTACCGCCCTGTAAAAGATATTAATAGCTATTTGTTTCGTGTATATAAACATAACTATCAGATCTTTAATTTTATAATTCTTGGTTCTTTTAGTGTTTTTCATAAGTGCACATTTTGTGGTTGAATTGTCCTTCATTTCAAATCATTAGAAAACACTAGAAGTTTAATGTGTATTCTGGAATATCAATCTGGGAGAAATGGAAAATTCATGTCCATTGCTCAGTAAGCTGACCTTCCTGTGAACTAAGAGTTTACTTTAAAGTAATTTTGAAACATAAATTATATTAAGTTGAGTAAATCATATGATAAAAAATTTTCCATTTGTAATCTAATACTCATTCACCTTAAATCAAATTACGTTCCTGCTTAGATTTAATATATAAATGAGAAAAATGACACTGTGAAAGCACCAGAAAAACATGGGAGAATTTTGTTTATAACCTCAGAGTAGGAATGGTCTGACTGAGGAAGAAAAGAGCCAATACTTACTTTTTGTTTTTTTAAAAAGAGACAAGGGTTTACCCTATTGCTGAGGTTAGAGTGTATTGGTGTCATCAAAGATCACTATAACCTTGAACTCTTGGGCTTAACCAGTTCTTCTGCCTTAGCCTCCCAAGTAGGTGGGTCTGCAGGTGCATGCCACCCCTCCTGGCTATTTTTTTTTTAAATTTTTTGTAGAGATAAGAGTCTTGCTATGTTGCCTAAGCTAGTTTTGAACTCCTGGCCTCAAGTGATACTCTAGCCTTGGTTTCCCACAGTGCAAGGATTACAGGAGACAGCCACCATGCATGGCCAAATTTTTTTTTTATGATTCTAAATGGCCATAAAATACCTATCTTAGTCTATTTTGTGCTGTTCAGAATTGAGTACCACAGACTGAGTAATTTATAATGAATGGCAAATTATTGGCTTATAGTTCTGGAGGTTAGGAAGTCCAGACCAGGTGCTGGCTTCTGGTCAGTGCCTTCTTGCTGTCATAACATGATAAAAAACACCACATAGCCAAAGGGTACAGAGAGAAAGAGAAAAAAAGAATGCATGAAATAGAGGTGGACCTTTTACCCACTATAAGGAATTTACTCCCTTGATAACTAACAGTATTAGTCCATTCATGAGGATGGAGACCTCATGAGGTTGAACACCTCTTAGAAGTCCCACCTTACAATATTGTTATGATGGTGATTAAATTTCAAGGTGAGTTTTAGAGGGGACAGACATTCAAAGCAGAGCAAAAGCAAGACACAAGATAAGTGATACTCCTTGAGAAAGATATTGTATTGTATTTCCTTTAGTTGAAAAAAGGCTAAATCTTTAAAATAAATAGCACCTAGAATTCAGTAAGAAAAAGACCAGTTACGTAGTGAAGCAATGGGCACGAACAGAGCTTTGATGGAAACAGCAACAATATAAGTGATTCTTAAAGTTATAAGATGTGCTGATCTTCACTTGTAATAGAAATGAGAATTAAAACTAAAATGAGATAATGTTCTTTAAACTAAAAATTTAGCACAGATTAATCAATTTGATAATGTCTTGTTGAAGAATACTGTAAAATATTGTGGGTTAGAGGAAAAATTGGTAGTTCAATGGAAGGCATTTTGCAAATATCTAAATTAGAAATGAGGCAATGGTTCAGTTTTTAGAATTTATTATGTTGATATATTTATACTCATATGAAATGATAAATACAGTTATTTATTACTTAAAATTATTTATGCAGCATTAGTGGTCCTAAATGTCCATAAGAAGGTAACTGATTTAATTATGGCACCTCCATATTATAGTGGGGTACTATATAGCTATTAAAAAAGAATGAGGTAGGCTTGGTGCCTGTAGCTCAGCGGCGAGGGTGCTGGCCACATACACCAGAGCTGGTGAGTTTGAATCCAGCCTAGGCTGCCACACAACGATAACTACAACCAAAAAAAAAAA